GTAGAGATGACGTCTTACTACATTGCCCAGGCTGGTCTCAAACTCCTGGGTTCAGGTGATCCTCCTGCTTTGGCCTCCCAAAGTGTTGGGATAACAGGCATGAGCTGGCACGCCTGGTCCAAATTCAATTTAGTTGAACACATTTTTGTAATCTTAAAATGTATAACAGCCATGTTACTTTAAGACCAGGGAAAATTAATATAGGAAATTAAAAGCTTTCTGTGAGGTAGTAAATCAAATGTACATAAATTAGACTATTACACTACTATCATTTTTTACTATTATTACATCAAAGAACACGCAGATTATCTAAATGGCGAATTTTTTTTTGAGATAGAGTCTTGCTGTATTGCCCAGGCTGGAGTACAGTGGTGTGATCACTACTTACTGCAGCCTTGCACTCCTGTGCTTCACAGATCCTCCTATCCCAGCATCTGAGTAGCTGCAACTACAGGCACATGCCACCTTGCCTGGCTAATTTTTTGTAGAGACAAGTTCTCACTATGTTGCCTAATCTGGTATTGAACTCCTGGCCTCAAGTGATCCTTCCTCCTTGGCCTTCCAAAATGCTGGGATCACAGGTGTAAGCCACCATATCTGGCCTCAAAATGGTCTAATTTAGAATGATTCATCTTTGTTTTTTGAGATGAAGTTTCACTCTTGTTGCCCAGGTTGGAGTGCAATGGCGTGATCTTGGCTTACTGCAACCTCCGCCTCCTGGGTTCAAGTGATTCTCCTGCCTCAGCCTCCCAAGTAGCTAGGATTACAGGTGCTTGCCACTACACCTGGCTAAGTTTTTATATTTTAAGTAGAGATGGGATTTCACCATTTTGCCAGGCTGGTTGCTAACTCCTGATCTTCAGGTGATCCACCTGCCTTGGCCTCCCAAAGTGCTGAGATTACAGGCATGAGCCACCACGCCCAGACAGATTCATCTTGATTAAACATTGTCTAATTGTTTGAGAAATTTCTGTCTATATGGATATGTGTGTATAGGTCTCTCTGTTTAAATTGCTAGCAGTGGTGATTCAGCCGTGTCCCTTCTTGTGACCCAAATACGATTAGCCAAGGCTATAAACCAACTCTAGCTAAATCTTCCTTTATGCTTTCAGAACATGAGTCTCAATAAGAATGTCTTACTTAAAAGAATCAAAACATTTGAAGCATTAGGAGTTCACTTTTTTCCTTTTTTTCCGTTTAAAATTTATATAAGTACTTACCAGTCTGTATAAAGCTTTTATTACAAGAGACTTTGTAATCTGATGTATTATTTTTCTTCCATTTAGTGTTAACTCTACCTATTGGAACTAGATAAATCTAGAGTTTATAGATAATGACCAGTGCAGAATTGACATAGTTTCTTAAGGAGCGGTGCGGGTGGTATTAACAATTTCAAGCTCAGCCATCCTAGGCTGAGCACATCAGGTACATGGAAGAATTTCCCTCTGCAGATTAAGTCCTCGGAAAGGTGGCCATTGTCCGTCTTCTGACATATCACAGACAAACCAAGACTAGAACCTCAAAAGGCAAAACTCTAGAGTGGGTGCAGTGTACACTGCTCAGGTGATGGGCACACCAAAATCTCACAAATCACCACTGAAGAGCTTACTCATGTAACCAAACATCACCTGTTCCTCAATAATCAATGGGAATACAAAATTAAAAAATAATAAAACAGAGTCTCACAGGAGACTGCTGATCAGAGTCACACAACAAGGCACGAGCTATATATGGTGTTTGGACAGCTTAGCTTCAACACAGCAAATTGTAGTTTCAGTGAGAAATCCATGAGCACTCTGAGCTCAGGTGCCTCTGCAAGGCACCCAAGCTGCAGGAAAGTTGGAAGAACGAGCTCAGCTCTTGAGGGCTCCAGGAGCTGTGCTTTTCTGCTTTACATGTCCCGGCTGGGCAATCTCAGTGGACTCACCAGACCATTCAAGAATAAAGCAAAGACCACCAGTGCTAAATAATACAAAGTTGTCTTTATCGTTTTGACAGAGAAAGGAATATATGCCAGTGAAGAAATTTATTGAGTGGTGTAATGATTAACTTTATGTATGTACTTGGCTAGGCCATTCTTTGCTCTAACAATATAAAGACAGCTTTGAGACATCGTTAACATTTAGGTCAACAGATTTTGAGTTAAGCAAACTCCATAATGTGGGTGGGCCTCCTCCAATCAAGGCCAAAATACTGACCTCCCCTGTGCAAGAAGAAATTCTGCTGCCAGATTGCTTTTATTTTTTATTTTTTCTTGAGACGGGGTCTTGCTCTGTCACCTAGGCTGGAGTGCAGTGGTGTGATCATGGCTCACTGGAGCCTCCACTTCTCCGACTCAAGCAATCCTCCCATGTCAGCCTCCTGAGTAGCTGGGATTGTGGGCATTTGCCTCCATGCCCAGCTAGTTTTTATTTTTATTTTTGTAGAGATAGGGTCTTGCTATGTTACCCAGGCTGGTGTCAAACCCCTGAGCTCAAGTGATCTTCCCACCTTAGCCTTCCAAAGTGCCTACAGACATGAGCCACCAAACCTGGCCCAGACTGTCTTCTAATGCAGACTTTCCCTGGGTCTCTACACTTGATGGCCCTGCAGATTTTGGACTTGCCAGCCCCCAAAATTGTGTGAGTCAATCCTTAAAATTCATCTCTCTCATTCCCTTCACATCCTATTTTTTCCGTTTCCCTGGAGGACTCTGGATAATAAAACTAGTTTGCTGAATAGAAAGTTCTGGGGGTTTTAACTGCTAGTGTGGGGAATTTCACAGTGATTATGCTAATTAAGCATTGACTTTTGTCTTATAGACAGGATGAAATGATTCCATGGGACTATATGCAGTCTGTCAAAATAATTCCCATTGCTCATTGCTCAGGAAATTGTCTTCCATGAAGTCCAGTGGGTTCTGACATCCCAGGTGCCAGATGCTCGTACTGCAGCTGGTTGGAGCCAGCTGGGATAAAGCCCAACATCCATTCTGACAATGACTTGGCAGGTGCTGCTTTAAGTGCGAAGATTTTATTTCCTCTCATTTTCCTCTAAGATTTTCTAACTAATGTATACCCAGCATACCTGCGTTCTCAATAAAAATTGTGTTTTCTGTTTCCTTTAAGATTCAATAGCCATAAATTGCCACACCAGGGAAATAAGGTGAGAGCAAAAGGAAGGCAAGAAGTAATCATTAAAGAAATGAAATAACTGGCCGGGAGCGGTGGCTCACGCCTGTAATCCCAGCACTTTGGGAGGCCGAGGTGGGTGCATCACGAGGTCAAGAGATCGAGACCATCCTGGTCAACATGGCGAAACCCCGTCTCTACTAAAAATACAAAAAATTAGCTGGGCACGGTGGCGCGTGCCTGTAATCCCAGCTACTCAGGAGGCTGAGGCAGGAGAATTGCCTGAACCCAGGAGGTGGAGGTTGCAGTGAGCCGAGATTGTGCCATTGCACTCCAGCCTGGGTAACAAGAGCGAAACTAAGTATCAAAAAAAAAAAAAAAAAAAAAGAGAAATGAAATAAGATTTTTCTCTTTTTTCCATCAGTGAGCTGATGTATTTTAATGTCAATCATGACCAGAGACAATTGAAGCATGAAGGCTTAGGATTTGGGTCCTGTTCATATTTCCTGAATCATCCATCCAGAAACCTGAGTGTTAGGTTGAAAGCTTAAATTCTTATGTTGAAGCCCTAATCCCCAATGTGACTGTATTTAGAGGTAGGGCTTATAAGGGGGTAATAAAAGATAAATGAGATCAGAAAGCTGAGACTCTAATCTAATAGGATTGGTGTCTTTGTAAGAAGAGGAAAGGCACCAGAGACCTCTATCTCTTTCTGCTGTGTAAAAGGCCATAGCAAGACACAGCAAGAAGGAAGCTGTCTGAAAGCCAGGAAGGGAGCCCCTGCTGGGAACCAAATTTGCTAGCACTTTCATCTTAGACTTTAGTCTTCAAATAAATGCCTGTTGTTTAAGTCGCCCAGCATGTGGAGTTTTGTTACGGCAGCTCACGCAGACTAAGATGCTGAGACAATCTCCTTTGGACCATCTATTGAGGGGAGCCAGCCTGGCTTCTCTGACCTAATAATTTTTCTCAGTGTAAGCTAACACCAGGCCAAAGACATCTTGACTCCATCCTTCACTTGTGTTTTCTTGTAAAATGTAGAGACTACCATGTCCTGACTTTAAGTCTTTTGGGGTTTTTCTCAGTGGCTGCATGATCACATTCTAATTCTTCAGCAAGTCATTCAAAAATCTTCACCTTGTGTGGCCAGGCGCAGTGGCTCACACCTGTAATCCCAGCACTTTGGGAGGCTGAGTTGGGAGAATCTCTTGAGGCTGGGGGTTCGAGACTAGCCTGGCCAACATGACAAAACCCTGTCTCTACTAAAAATACAAAAACTAGCCAGCGAGGTGGTGCATGCCTGTAGTCCTAACTATCTGGGAGGCTGAGGCAGGAGAATCGCTTGAACCCAGGACATGGAGATTGCAGTGAGCCTAGGTCTCACCACTGCACTCCAGCCTTGGTGGCAGAACAAGACTCTGTCTCAATAATAATAAAAACGGCCTTCACATTATAGCCCTGAGCTCCTTCTCTTCCCATATCACTTTCCACTCTATGTCCTCTGTCTTCTAGTACATGGGCCCTATATTAGTCCGTTTTCATGCTACTATGAAGAAATGCTTGAGACTAGGTAATTAATAAAGGAAAGAGGTTTAACTGACTCACAGTTCCACAGGGCTAGAGAATCATTGCGGAAGTGGAAGCAAACTTGTCCTTCTTCACATGGCTGCAGGAAGGAGAGTCCTGAGTAAAAGAGGGGAAAGCTCCTTATAAAACCTTCAGATCTTGTGAGAACTCACTTATCACAAGAACAACGTGAGGGTAACCACCCCATGATTCAATTACCTACCATGAGGTCCCTCCCCCAACATGCGGGGGTTACAATTTGGATTACAATTAAAGATGAGATTTGGGTGGGGACAAAGAGCCAGACCATATCAGGCCCTGTGTGGCTGGCAGAATAATGGTCCCCCAAGATACCGGCCCTCTGATCCCTGACACCTGTGAATATGGCACATTACATGGCAAAAGGGACTTTGCAGGTAGAATTAAGGCTGCAGATCTTAAAATGGGGAGAATATCCTGGCTGATTCAGGTGGGTCTGATATACTCACATGCACTCTTAAAGATGACAGAGAGGGGCAGACAAGCCATAGAAAGTGGAAGAGGCGGGAGAGAGTCACAGTGCAAGAGGGGCTCTTTCCACGGATGCTGGCTGTCAGGATGAGATGGGCCATGAGCCAGGGAGGGCAGGTGGCCTCCAGATGCTGAGGGCAACCCCTGGCCAACAGCCAGCAAGGAAACAAGGACTTCTTTCCCACAAATCCACACAGCTGGATTCTGCCAGCAACCCCAATGAGTCTGGATGTGGATTCTCCCCCAGAGCTCAGCCCCGATGACACCTTGATTTTGGCCTTGAGAGACAAAGCACAGAAGCCAGCAGAGCCTGTGAGATTTCTGACCTCCCCCAGAAAGTGTAAGATAATACACTGGTCTTGTTTTAAACTATGCTAGTAGCAGTTTATTCCGGCAGCCATGGGAAACATTGCCCCCGCACATGTCCTCATTTGCATGCTTTCTTGCGTGCTGATGCTGCTGTGGGGAGCACCTGTTCTCTAGCTTGCCACTAAGTTAAAATCTCACCTGTCCTGGAAGGCCCAGCTTCCACGGCCATCCCTGAGCAACACTGCCCTGCCCCTGATGACAGAGCAGAATGAATTACATTCTTCTCTGTGCTTGGAGAACTTTGCTTCTAACACAAATAGTGCACGTGCTGAGTGCTGCGCTCTGACCCTTGTCCCTAGCCCAGTGCCTGACAGTCTGTCAATCAGGTATTTATTGGGAGACTATGTTGTGCCACACAGATGTGTCGAAGGTGCTAGGTATACGGGGATGCCTAAATCAGACCCAGGGCCCTTCGTTCTGTCATGGACCTCCTAGGCTATGCATATTCACTGCCTCATAAACATCTGCTAAGTTAATTAAACTAAGACCTCCTGGGGACAAGGAAGCCACAATCACCAGGAAGCAGGATTAGCCTGGTCTCTCTGTCAGGGCAGCCTCATGTGTATGCACACACGAGTCTTCTCCCGCACCGTGGACCATCTGCCGTCTGTGGGAGGATGTGGGGCACCAGGAATGCTCATCGCGGGGGCGTGTTTGGTTCAGCCATGATTCGCCTGCGGCATAATAGATTGCTGCTTTCCTTTTTCTCCTCGAACTTCCTTTCTATAAAGTGACTGAGATAATATTTACACACATTGTTTCCAAAAGGCTTTTCTCATATTCGTCCTGACGCTTAATCTTGATGACAAACCTAGGGTGGACACGGAAGTAAAGCAAAGAAAATATTTGAGTGATTATAACTGTATAGCTGTTTTATTCAGTCTTTCCTGCTGGAAAGTCTTGAGTTATATAAGTTAATCCGGGGCTCCTAACTGGCTACCCTTTTTTTTTTTTTTTAAATATAGGCATTTACAAAAAATAGCTCAACCTAAGTTTTGCTTATGTTTGCAAATCAAGCAAGATCTAAAACTCTTAGGAGGCCTTACTGGCTTTATGCTCAGTAGAGTATCCAACCACTTCTGGCTTGGAGCTGTTTGAATTGATGTTTTTACAAATAAACTCTAAACTTTAATGGTGCCTCAGTTTACCATTTAACAGAGGCCTCAGAAGAAATCCACCCTGCTGAGCCCTTGATCGCAGACTTCTAGCCTCCAGAACTGTGGGCAGATAAATGCCTGTTAGTGAAACTGCCCAGTCTGTGGGTCTTACAGCAGCTCAAGCAAATGAACCTACTTGCCTGTGGCTTTATTTAAGTTCCTTCCATTCCTGGCCTCTCTGACCCCCACTGTCTACTTTAATCGCTGTGACCAAGTCCCCATCTCCATGGTGCAGGTGGGGTCCAGGCTGGCTCAGCGGGGCCTTGAGCTGGCATTGGGTAGCCCCAAGGCTGAAGAGTCACCAGTGATGAACAGAGACACAGAGAGTAAATTAAGTTGGGCTGAGCTGGAAGCTGGATGGAAGAGTCAGGGGCTCAATGCCAGAGAAGAGGCAGGAAGGGTTTCCTGTGCAGCAGGGAAGGAGGGACGGATAGAAGCCTCAGCCGTGAAATGGAGGCTCCTGGAGCCTGCCGGGAAAGAGGCTAAAGTTTCCAGCTGCTTGCCCCAACGGTTACCTCTGTGTGCAGTTGACCTTGCTAGCTAGAGGTGAGGCAGCCTGTCTGGGAAAGCTGGGAGGAGACCACCACCCTCTCCCCCACCCTACCCCCCATCCCACCCCCAGCTGCGGTGACATCTTTCCCCATGCTCTTTTGAGTCTGATTCACTCACACATTTCCTCTTTCTGCTGGGAGCCTTTTACAGGCTGGGACTGCTTCTTCCTTAAGGACCTCCAGGATGCACTCTTTGTACCTCAGCATCCAGCACTGCTTGGGACACAGAAACTCCCCTGTAGATGCAGGTTGAACAAAGAGATCAATTAGGAAATCAGTTTGCAACGACCACTTCCCTTTCAGTTTGACGACTTTCATCTGCAAGGCACGATCCGTTTGGTGGAATGACTGGCCAAGGTGGCAGAGCCAGGAGGAATTTGCAGCAGAGATTTTTACCCCCATTTTCGATTTAGTGGGGTCAGGTAACCTGAGGGTGATTCTGGAGGATAGCAGATAAAAACATTCTTGCTTCCGAAGGTTTGAAGAGCTCTGGAGACAGGTCAGGCATGAAAACTGTGACAATGATGGCTCATCCTGTAGAACTCTACAAGAAAGAATTGGGTCGAGTAAATTATTGAATCGCGACTTTTTCTTTTCTTCTTTTTTTTTTTTTCCCAGTGAGAAGCTGAACATTTCAGAACAGCTATTATTATCACTAAAAAAATAGATGTCTAAAATTTATAGTGCTCCGTTTAGAGATTGGAAGATCTAGGCATTAATCACTTAAATCATTTTCTAATTCTATAAAATAAGATGAATGATGTGTCTTTTTTGTGATCCCTTTTCTAAGATTAAAACCTTTGATGTGGAAAATGTTCGTTGCTGCTCCTATTCCGAGGCCTGGGTGAATTACTTTACCGCCTCTGTCTGTGACGAACCCTGAGTCCACTGCAGAGTTCTACCTACCCATTTACTGGGTTTCCTAGATTTTCTAAATATATTGATTTAACTCTAATGGTTCCATTTTTCCAGAACTTTATTCACTAACTGCATGGCACTGCACTTTCTTACACAAGGGAGTTCTTTCATGGCTGACAGTGGAGTCACTGTCAGTCATCAATAGGAATACATACATGTCCTGCTTATAGTTCCGTAGGCAGAACTTGGATAATATGAGGGATCCTGACTCGTTTGCATGAGGCTCCCAATGAGGACGTATTGTTGAAATTTTAAGTGTAATTCAGTGGATAAGCAAGAAATAATAGTTCAGAGGATCATTCCCCAAAGTCCTCTTCTTGTGACCCAGGATTAAAGTGAGTGGCAAAGTCAACAAAAATGCCAACCTCCAAATATGGATCAAGCCTCCCCCCTCCAAACTACCCTCCCCCACTCCAAACTACCCCTCCCCATTCCAAACTACACCCGCCCCCACTCCAAACTACCCACCCCTACTCCTGGAGCTTCATTGTGGCCGGAGGCTGCTGTCCCGGGCAGTGCTGCAGCCTTACCCTAATGTGCGACTTCTTCTGCAAATATCACTCTGGTTTCAATATGGCTCTTCCATAATTTCACCTGAATGACTGATGTTGGTTGTATTCAGCGACGGGGGAGAGAAACTAGAGAATGAAAAGAAGAGCTGCTGCTTCTTGCTCTTTTCTCCCTCCTCAGCCAGCCTGATGCAGAGGGTCGGCTCCTAGAGGAGGCGTGAGCAGGCTGGGAGGGCTTCAGCATCCACTCGTGGCGGACTTAACACTTACATGGTAACACCATGCCAAGTTCGTGAACATAAAAGCAAATCACATTGGGTCCTCTCCCCCAGATGAGATGAGCAGCATGCAGGGCAAGGGACCGTCACCCCCACAGTGCAGTGAGCTGTGTGCTGCTACAGGAGGAGGACAGACATGCCTGGGGCAGGAGAGAGAGAGAAGGGCTCATGGGAGGTGGGTTTTGATGGCTGAACAGGAGTTTCCTAGGGGTCTGGGGAAGGGAAGTGTAGGTGGGACAGAAACAAATAATGCTAGAGTTCTGTGTCACAAATGGTGGACGGTCAGCATGGCTGGTGGGAGGGGCTGTGCAGCACCCAGTCAGCAGTAAGACTGGGTGGGCAGCTCGGGGGCAGACCATGAATGGGCTTTCTCATGTGCATGGCTCTGGCCAGGCATAATCATGGTTTTCAAGCAAGGACTTGATTGAAATAGATCAGATTCTTCTAACATGGAGCTCAGGAGGGAGACCAGGTATGGGGTGGCTGCAAAGCACCTGCCAGAAATGGTGAGGCCTGGGGTGGGGTGGACGGAGAAGCTGGACCCAAAAGACATGCTTAGGGAGAAGTGACTGCAATTTGGGAGGGAGTGAGAGGGGAGACCTGCAGCTTCTGATCGGAGTGTCGGGTGGATGGTGACACTGCCCCCAGAAAAGCAGTCACAGAAGGTCCAGTGGGTTGGTGGGGAAGCCAGTGGAAAGGCCCCCGAGGCATCTGCCTGCCTTCTCTGCTTTTCACCCCTTTCCCTGCCCTCATCAGCCTTGTAAGCCTTGGTGAGCATGCGGGAACTTGGTCAGGAGAGGCAGAGCCGAGGCCCAAGCATTGCCCAGCTCGGAGGCGTGCCCAGGAGGGGTGTGGCCTGGAGAAGCCTGCCCGCGCCTCCTTCTGTGGGTGAAGCGGTGGCTTGGGCTGGTGTTCCCACGCTTGTGCGTTCTGTCAGCCTGTGCCAGTCCATGGTACAGTGGCTGGGTCTCATCTGAGCAAGGAAATTTGGAGCATCCTGCTTTCCTCTTGCTTTTCTTTAGACAAGGCATATGGCAAACTCAGTCCTTCCCCAGCTGCTTTTGGGGGGGTCGTGGCAAAGTACAAAGTGCCGTGATAGCCTGGTTCAGGGAGAGAGGGATCTGTGCCTGAAAAGCATGTCACGAAGAGTTGGCTTTTCTTAAAACACTCACACTTCTTTCCTCACATAGCAGTTATTTTCTGCCGTCTGGGCTTTGGTGAGAGTGTGGTCTGGCTCCACAGATGTCAGAAACTCAAGTTTCTGCAAAGACTTTCACTTCTCAGGTTCCAAAGGCCTCAACAAGCTTCCCGCCATCTGTGTTCATGGACTTCAATTTCATGGTGTCAAATGAGTATCAGGTAATGGCAGAAATAACACGTATCACACATTTATTGATTTATTTCCCTTGGATTTATTTACTTTAGAACACCATTACCCAAAGCAGAGCTCTTGAAACTCTAGTCCTACAACATGATCTTTGAAAAATGGGTTTCATTTCCAGATGCTTGGAAAATATTGAGTTCCCCATGCTCCTCTTGCACATCAATTCTCAACCC